CTATCTATCTATCGATCTATCTATCAAGCTGTCTAACTGTCTCTATCTTTCTGTACATCTATCTGTCAATCTTCTATCTATCTATTCATCCGTTTGTCTATTTATCTGTCTGTCTGTCTATATATATATATTAATCTATTTGTCTGTCTGTCTGTCTGTCTAATTATCTGTCAGCACTACTGACCTACTAGCACCAACTGTCACCAACAAATATAGAGATACAGTGATGAGCAAGGCCCGATCTGAGGCACAGTTGTAGTGGACCTCACAATATTAATCTCAGGTGGTGACGAGTACAGCTTTGTCTCTGAAACACAAAGCCATTAATAACAGCCTATCAATTGCTTTCTCTTTCTCTCGAACCAAAGAGTGGCCTCTACGGGTACTGGAGCACATCATCAAAATAGCAAATGAGGCTGGCGGCGAGGGAACCGGTACACAGGGACGCGAGATTCGTGATAATCATCATTCACTCTGTCCCTTTGCCTGTAGGCACTTTACATCAAAACAAATGACAACTGCATCTCATAGTGACATGTTAGTTTAAGCAAATGCATAGAAGACAGCTTATCAAAACCATTCCCGACGGAGAACTGTTGTGTGCCAATGCTGATACGAGTGAGATTTGGGATAAATGTGCAGTCCGCAGCACATCATTGCATTACTGTAACAGGTCTGTTTTTCTGTGATGTCTTTTTAAATTATGAGCAAATGTTTGATGAATAGCTGGATTGTATGTAGCAACAAGTGAGATGACCAATCTAGCGACTGAGACAAGGCCGACCCGTTTCTAGGGAAAACAGAAAACTATACCAATTACAAAACAACAGAGATGCAATGGATTTTATTTTCATGGACTTAGAGTAAAAAAAAAAAACCTGATTTGATGCATGAATTTCTAAGGCCTGTAAATTATCAACATTAAAACGTGTCTGGAAATCCTGTTGTACACCTACATGCCTTCTGTCGTCTGATTTATAGTTTACTGTAAAAAAATATTTTCAAGATTTGTTATCACAACATTTTTTCTTTTGTCAAATCAACTTAAATAATTTATTTAGTTCAGATAATTTATTATTTTAAGTTTCTGATGATTAAATCAATCTCCTTCATTGTATTAACTCACTTTTTCCAGTTCAATCAACTTAAAATGTGAAGGCAACCAGGTTACTTATTTTTTTTTTTTTTTAAACCAACAATATTTAGTAAAAGGCCTTTTAGTTTAATCGTAAAAATGTTTGTGGTACACCCGTCTTTTTTTCTATGAAAAGTGATTTTTAAACAGTAAACGTAAGAATAACTTTCATATTGTTACACTGTAAAACAAAATAGTTATGACAACATTAATTTTTCTCATTAAAATAATTGCTTTTAATAAATTATTGCTAATAATAAAAAAACTTTATGTTATACAAGAATCAACTCAGTTCAAGTCAATTTAATGTAATAATGTAAGTTTAAATGACTTAAACATCAAAGTTGATTGTAAGTTTTATATGGATTGTACTTAAAATTGAAGGTAGCAACTTTTTTATTTTTTTATATTTCAAAATGAACATTGGCTGGACTATAATTACTATAACTATAATTCTTAATGAGGTACGCTTATTTGCTTTGAGGTTCATAATGCTTTGAGGAACGTTTTTTGTTCATTTCTCAGTTGCATCGCATTATATGTTTTGCCCCCCAGATTAAACAACAGGGACTGATAATAAAACTGAGTGTTTATATATCATCATAATAAGACATATTATTGAGAGATACAGTCACAACTGATTTATTTAATGTACTTAGTCTGTTACACTGCTATAAAGATCTATATGTTTCTTTTTGGCCATAAATATCAGCAACTGCACCAAATTGCACATTTTTTGCTCAGTTTAGGCCACTGAATAAAATCAAGGTGTTTTTTTAGCCTCCTTGAGTATGAGCTCCATATTCTCCTATATCATATTATATGAGCCATAAAGGCCTGATGTATCAAATATGCACACTTTTAAAAAATTTTTAATAAAGTTTTCTGACCATCATATCATATACAAGGCTTTACAGGGTAAATCTTAACCAGTGTTAAGGTTTTCTTCCTTTTGATCAATGTAAAAAAAGAGGCATTCTTTCAATACTATTATGTTTTTTCCTTCCTCTCCTTCTTAAGTACTGACCTCATTTAGCTTTATTACAAGACCTTCAACGCTACAATAAAGCCCCACGACGTCACGGGGCTTTTATAAAACGTTTAGTCCATGAACATATTTCTTTTAATATTTATCGCAGGTGTATGATTGTAGATTGATTTACAATGGCTACAAACGAGGCTCAACCAATCAGAAACAAGGATCCATTTTATCATGTCCATTTTGACTTCCTTTCTGAAAACAAAAAAGTGCTTTCACTAACAAACTAAACACTTTTAATCGTATAATAATACGATTAAAAGTATTATTGTATGTCTTTGAGGTACTATATGTGTCTTTGAAGTACTATATGTGTACACTCTAAAAAACGTTGGGTTGTTTCAACCCAAATTTGGGTCAAATATAGACAAACCCAAATGTTGGGTTAAAAATGTAATTAAAAAAATTACAGTTGAAAGTTGAAAATTTTAAATGACATTTTTAACCCAACATTTGGGTTTGTCCATATATTTGACCCAAATTTGAGTTGAAACAACCCAGCGCTGTTTAGAGTGTATAGTTGTATGTATAAAGTACTGAGGATTTTTCTGTCACATTGTGTTGTTAAGTGCTGATCTGTTATAATTAGAGAAGGCATGCGTTTGTCCTTAATTTATTTGCTCCCTTAAGCCCAAAGTCAGAGACACTCATTAGGATAACGAATGGCAGCTTTGGAAAGAGGTCTCAAGACACAGAATTCTTCCAACTCCTACATGACCAGACGACTAATAAGTCTCATCATGGCTGCTCCCCGTGCGTGAGGATTTTTGAGAACAACACCGTTTTTAAAAAATGTCAACACACAAGGGCATTTACGCAAACAAATACCTAGAATTGTTTGTTTTTGTGCCATATAAACTCACTCCGCACGAGATTATTCAGAAATGCAATTTAGTTCTTGGCGTGAATAAATTGAGGGGAGCGCACAAATATAAAGCAGGTCATTTGAAGATTCTCCATGGTGTGAATTTTCACGCAAGTTGTCTGTGGCATAACTGTGGCGATGAATGACTTCATTTCACAGCTCTAATATTATTAGAGGTCCACAGAATATTTACACCACACGTGTGGAATGAAATGAGTGAAATGCTGCATTAAATCCAGGAGTCTCCTCTCCACACATTTATGCGGAATAGAGGCTGGATTTTATCGTGGATTCGTATTAAATCTGTGTGATGTGTGTGATGAAAGGACATTTGGCAGTTGGCACTTCTAAGCGGTGTGAAAAGTGTGGGACATTTCTTGACTTCTCTTGACTCCATGATGTGATTCAATGATCATCTCATATTGCAGGCATGATTCGGATGAATAATTCAAGTGAAATTAAAAACCAAAAGTTCACATTAAAAATGCAAATCCATATTACAAGGATCATTTCGGGAGGAAGTGGTTGATATCGGTTCAACCACAGAGCATGGGGAAGTGTTACATCACATGAGAAGTATAAAAAAATATGAAATGCCTCACTGATGATACAATATCATAACTCTTTCAGGAAACACAAACAGGCATTTTAGGGCACATTCAACCCACTCTTTACATTACAGTATTCATGTTACATTATTATAAGAAGTAAAAAAAAAAGCTTAGTTTTTTTTTTTATACTAAGCTATACTTGTAAATACAACACTTCATCAGACAATTGAGTACATGATTCAGAAAAGTTATTGTGTGTAGGTGTGTGTGTGTGTGTGTGTGTGTGTGTGTGGGGGGGGGGGGGGTCTTTCCAAGAACTTCATAAAACTACGATGTAACCTACTTTCTGAAAATTAGATAGGCTTTTATACTGGTTTTACTAACAAACAAAACACCTTTAGTCGAAAATGTACTATTTTGTTTATGCATATTTCATAGCAGGGAAATACGCATGTTTAGAAACATTTTTTTTTTTTTGGCTACACACACATATATACTTCCATACTTCCATACATATACATATGTTTTTACATTGCTTTAACTTAAAATAAGTTATAGCCTACCTACAAGATTCAAATAATCTTTTTAAGTCAGTTTAACGTAATTTAAGTTGAAATAACTTAATGACATTCGAGTTGAATGTACTTAAGAATTTTAGACAGATTTTTACTGTGTGTGTATGAATATCACTGTAAAAAAATATTTTCCTGATTTGTAATCACAACATTTTTTCTTTTGTCAAATCAACTTAAATAATTTATAGTTCAGATAACATCATATTTTGTGTTTCCGATGATTAAATCAATCTCCTTCAATGTATTAACTAAATTTTTCCATTTCAATGAACTTAAAATTTTTAGGCAGCCAGGTTACTTCATTTTTTAAGTTAAACAACATTTTTTTTTCTTTTTTTTTTTTTTACAGCAAACAATACTATTTGCAAGCAGCTCTGTAGTACCACATGCCGTTTGTTGTAACAAGGACATTGTAATGTAAAGCGTTAGGCACTTTTTGTTCTGAATGTCAGGCTCTCTCCAGGGGTTTTCCTGACACACCAGCAGAGCACCTGTGCATTTCTGCAGCTGAAGCTCTGCCTGAACTTCACTGCTGCAGAGCTCCTTATACCCCTATCTGTCAAATCAAACCCTGTCAATCACCCTCATGCAGCACACACACACACACACTCTCTCTCTCTTTAACAGTAAACCAACACGATCTGCTGTTATTTGACCTGCTGATTAAAACATCTGCTGGTTCAATCGTCACTGATTCGATGTGAATTCTAATGCAGCAACAAATAATGAAAACACACGGCTGCACCTGAAACCCCAATGCAAGGTGAAACAATGAGCAGACAGAAAATGTATAACAATAAAACACTAAATACTGATTTGAAAAGATCTACTCAACCCGAAAAACGTGTTTTGTCCCTCCTCGCAGTACGTGTATTTCTTCAGTCTGTGTTCCACAAGCGGTAGATGAGAGATGCTGACATCGCAGTCACTGAGATTTCGGGAAAACCATTTTGCCCAAGTCTTTGCGTCCAGAGAGAGCGAGAGAGAGAGGGAGAAGAAAAGCTCAGGATGTAGGAAGGTTTCGCCCTTTCTCCTTCGGTTCTGACTTCACCTCTGAATAGTAATATTCCAGCACGGCTCCCTCAGTGTGTCTGCAAACTGCGCTCAAAGCTAGACAGTCCTGCGCCTGTGCCAACCTCACCTCGCTGGGTTCACAGCCACACAGAGAAAGACTGAGACGTTGTTTGCGGCCAGATTTACATTCAGCGTGTCCAGCCAGCGCTGGGTCCAGCAAATCAGCAGAATGATAGCGAAAGACTGGAGTGAGACACTGTATGAACAACAGCGCCACCTCCCGACCGAACCGCACAACTCGCTCTTATGACTAATTAGGAATTTTTTACAGTTTTAGATTCCCCTTCACGATTCTGAATCCATGATGGTTCTATATTTAACGATTTTGTCTTTGCTTTGATGAATGAAAAACATTATGTTTGTGTGAAATAAATGTCTTTACAACCCACTTTTGACCAGTCTTTGCTGAGTATTTTTTTAGTGTGTTAAAATTAGGCTACCTCAAAATTTGGATAGTACCACAGTTTTTACAAAACTATTAAGCAGCAAAAACATCAACAAAATACACTTTTTCTTGGGCATCATAACGACAAGGCTAATGTCACACTGATTGGAGTAATGAATAGCACAATACAGTATTGTGTAATAGTATAAGTATTTTATATTTTAATAATATTTCACAAAATGACTCATTTTACTGTATTTTTTTTTTTTTACCAATACAGTCTTGCTGAGCATAAAATACTTAAAAAAAATTATTATATTCTAAGCATTTCTTAATTAGTATTTTTGTCTTGATTTCTGGTGTAAATATTTAAACGTTCCTGAAATATAATATATTTCAGATGAAAAAAACAAGACCATAAAATATTAAGTCTTATTTTCAGATAAATTGAATAAAATTTAGTGATTTTTTTTTATATTTTTTTATTTAGTGATAGAAAAAGAAACGTGTTTTCCTTTTAAATGAACATTTTTTTTAATCTCATTGGCATATATTTATTTCATTGAAATAATGAATTATTATTGTAGCCCTTCTTAAATGTAGAAATGTATTTTGTTTTAAGCTGTGATGTTTAGTTATGTATACTGAAAAATAATTCTCTTTTTTTTGGCAGGATAATTGGGATGTTTCCACATGAAGCTCCATTTTTAGGAAACCTTCCAGAAGATTTTTTACAGTGTAGGCTGCATAGCTTCCATTGCACTGATCTTGAAAGTTTCATTAACATAAAAAAAAAACTGACTGACATGCTTTATCTCTGAAACCTGCAGCAGAGAGCGAACTGAGCTTGTTTTGCGAAACATGACAGGCTTGCAGTTATGCTCAATGCCTTGAGAAAGATTACATATCCGAGTGTGATCAAATTGACCTTGAAAGACGAATCCCATTCATGGACAAATGACGTGATTCTGTGAGTGCCACTGTGTAAGTACACCTGTGTCAAGAGACAAGAGTGTCACTTTTGTGTGAACATTTCTCCCCACGTTTAAACAACTTAGAAGGGTTAACAAGCTTTACAGGTCTCGGCAATAAACAAATCCCTTCACCTCGGCACGCGCACAAATCTAATTCAAGGAGGAGAGCGAGTTTAATTGAGCCTTTAGTTAAGCTACTTTCTATGTTTCATTTGCACACAAGTCAAGAACTTCTATAAAAACATCACTGTCGATCAGCAGACCCCATGCACTGGAGTGTAAAATACGCACGTTCGCCCACCAAAAACACCGCGTTTTATTAGCACTTCCCAGACATATCCATCCATATCACCCCATTATAATTGTTGTTGGAAACAAGAGCGGAAGATTAGGTGATCTTTGGAAAGGTCGAACTCTCTCCTCCGGGTGTTGAGAACAGGTCAATTCCAGAGACAAACCCCTGTAAAATAAGCTCTCTTTATTAAAGCCGACGTCGTGTTCCTTCCCCACTGCCATTAAACACACATTAATCATGCTTACTTCAGCCCAGGATACTTTAACACAGCCCAGCCATCATTAATAACGCTCCATCCAGTCCCGCGTTGACATTTCCTTTAATTATCTCCGTAATTTATTCATGTACTGTATCAGTGGCGCTTGTTGTGCGAAGCTGCCTGCGAGGAACATTTTGCTCAAGCCTCTTCAAGACACAGGATTAACTATGCTAATGAGGAAGCTGGGAGGCATGACTGCTATTTGTGCGTGTTAAGCCGGGAAGCCATTAGGCCCCAGATTTACACGTGCCAATTGAAACAGGTTTGAGTTTGTTACCTTGTCAGATATATTTTGAGCATTGTATCTGTGTGGCTGAGAGACCTTTTTTTAGGTTTTCATTCTTGGTTGTAGTAGAAGTAGAAGCAATGGTGACATTTTTTTCTCCATTCTATCACATGGTGGAGTTTGTGTTCCTTGCCACTGTCTACTCTGGCTTGCTTTGACACTTCATATTCAACAATATATATATATATACGGTATACGGTATATATATATATATATATATATATAACACAAACTGACTTCAGCTTACCGAAATGCATCATTTTCCTTATCACTGTGGCAAGCTGCTTTTAAACAATCTGTATTGTATAAAGTGTTATTTAAATAAAGGTATGTACAAGTAGGCTAATTTTACAGCAGTTAATTCTAGCCCTCAAATTTGATTTCATAATGTTGGGGATTTTCAGTTACTCCCGCTGTAAGTTTGCGAAAAAATGTATTGCCTTTATAAGTGAATCATTGAATCATTCACTCACCCAAAGATGGTGATTCAATCAGTAACAAAACACCACTTTTGTTGCAGTGGCTGAAATAAAAACAATTCCCTACATATGCAAAAAACAGTACAACATATTAGAATTTACAAATGCATAGTATTCGAAAAACAGTAGGTGAACATTTCAAATCAGTTTACTATCCCATGCAGTAGTACCTCATTGCAGTACACGAGGTGGATTCAGGGGGCGGAGTTGGATCCAGATCTAATGGGTGGAGATTGGTAGGAATTAGGGGTGGGGTTATGGATCAGGGGGTGGAGATGGGTAGGATTAGGGAAGGGGGCGGAGATGGCTAGGATAAGGGGTTGGGTTAGGGATCAGGGTGCGGAGATGGTTAGGGTTAGGGGTGGGGTTAGGGATCAGGAGGTGGAGATGGGTAGGATTAGGGGTTGGGTTAGGGATCAGGGGGAAGAGATGGGTAGTAATAGGGGTGGGGTTAGGGATCAGGGGGCGGAGATGGGTAGGATTTGGGGTTGGGTTAGGGATCAGGGGGCGGAGATGGGTAGGACTAGGGTGGGGTTAGGGATCAGGGGACAGAGATGGGAAGGATTAGGGGTGGGGTTAGGGATCAGGGGGTGGAGATGGGTAGGGTTAGGGGTGGGGTTAGGGATCAGGGGGTGAGATGGGTAGGATTAGGGGTGGGGTTAGGGATCAGGGGGCGGAGATGGGTAGGATTAGGGAAATTTAACTTGAGTTCAAAACTGGAAATCACAAAACATTTGCAAATAAAGCAGCCATTTTCCAATAAAAATGGAATTGCTGCAATCGAGAAAGCCACTTTTACCCTACTGTACATCATAAATAACTTGCCTCTCAGAGTGCACAGATGAAACACTGTCATGTTATCTTCCGTTCAGATGCCTGGTGTTTGGAAATGCAATCATTGGAGATGCTTCTGGGGGGGAATTAGCTCTCTATTTTACAGTCATGTTACCCATGTACATACTATGCACTTATTATGCTAATTGCAATAATTGGGTAATAACTCTACTAACCCTGAACCTATCCCCCTCAACACATGTTACCTTATATTAGCCAGTCCTTTCTTAGGCAAGTACACTGTAAGTACATTGGGGAATGAAACCAAACCAAATGGGCATTTCAGAATGATCAACCCAACATTCGAGATGCTGTGCAATGACATTGGTCCGCTGGTTAGTCCAGTTATCCAATCACACCCACTATTGAGGCATATTCATGTGACTTCATTGTTGTGCATCGAGGGACTTATTCGGTAAATGTGTTTCCATCTCAGTTTATGCACGTCTTCCTATCAGATCAAAAATGTACCTGCCTCAATTGCGCGCATACATTTTTTAAGCGCATTTTTTAAAATTCATGCATAACTTGGCATTTCCATTCAGCGTTTTTCATAAAAAAAGTGAATGGAAACATACCTTGAGTAAACACAGTACTCACACTACATAATGTGGTACAAAAGTGAGGAATTAAGTAAGCAATTGCAACAACAGTACCTTAATCGCTTGCATGTGCAACATGACATGAACTGTTGAGGGGGATTATTTTCTCTAAAGATGAATGATTTTCGCATACACAAGCATAACCAATGACATTGCTACAAAATACAGCAACAACTGCAACATTCTGTAGTTCAATCCCATCAAATCCAGTTCGCAGCACTGCGTGCCAAGTGCCATAATCACTGGAATGGAGCTCAGCTTAGTCTATGTGTAATTACCCTCTCTTGCCTTTAGCTTAAGTTTACTTACGTGCTGTCAAGAGAAGCATATCTATGAAGGCAATAACAGCTCCTGGCAAGACTGTCAAACCATCTGGCGTAGAGAACAGGGTGACAAAAACAAACGCAGACAGGGACTTGGTCTTCATCCAGTTTGGAAGGGAATGGAGAAACCTCCGCGCTCCAGGCAAAGCTTACTCAGCATCACTGAAGGAAATACACGTAAGGTCATCACTGCGCAATCCTATCCATACATCTCACTTTTGTTCTTTGCCTCTTAGGTTATGACCACAGGAGGACCATTTCTCGTGCACTGCGGCAACTATCTATTTGTACTCGCCAGAGGCGGATATGTATTCTGAAAATGGGTTTAGATGGTAATTTCCCTTTTGAATCGCTGTTTGACTGTAGTCATATTCCTTCCACAGACGGGTTTGCCTAATGGAAAACATCATGCATCATATTTAGCACAGTGTGAATATATTCCTAAATTCCAGTCTCTTGTTTTATCACCGTTCTTTATTTTCACAGGGCTCATTTTCTCAGGGAGGGCGTAATACGCTTTCAATCCGAAGAATCCGGATGAGCGCCCCCCAGATCACTTCCTACCCTTCTAAAAATGACAGCAATTTAATAAAGTTCCCAAATGCGTAGTCATAGGTACAACTTTCGGCTTTAAGTGCCGATATAATACACATTCATAAACAAACCGAGCAAGACACTTTACACACTGTAGACGTGTTGCAATTTAAAACTCCCGTCACAGCACTCTGCCTTTGCCTTGCCTTGAGGCTATACGCTCTTAAATGAAAATATGCTCTCAAGACGAAGCTTTTTTTCCCTGGTAAAACATCTGAATCCCCCTAAATGAAGGAATAAACCAAACAAATAAATAAGCGTGTGAAAATATATTCCCACTC